AAGGCAGCGGGTGAAGCGAAGTATAGGCCCATTTACTTAGATCAATTACTCCTCTACCATTTTACCGAATGAGACACTAACTCGAGTTGAACCTCGAACCTGGAGGACCAGGAGACTGAACTTCGTCTGACCTCTACGCTTTGACCTTCCAGACATGATTGGATCGGTGGCTTGATGAAGGCCATCCTGTGTAGCTCGTTGGGTCAGAGAGGTGCACAAGCCATCACACCATGTCAAGGTGCAATCTCATCGTGATGGTATCTAGCATACGAGAAAATCACCTCAGATTACAAACGGGAGAAACTCTAATGTGCGAGATAGTAGCTAGGGAGGAGTGCAAATGNCACAAGCCATCACACCATGTCAAGGTGCAATCTCATCGTGATGGATATATATATATATATATATATATATATATAGTAGTTCGCATACCTGGTTATATTACCGGATTTGGGCTTTCTATCCTCTTACTTCTTTGGGGTAAACATCTCCGCTGTGCGAAGGTAGTGAGTTGGGCTTCCTCGGCAAAAGTAGTTTGAAACGCTTAACGGAACATTTGGTCGAGCATTTTTTTGCAATGCAAAGAAGAGTGACCAGTCGCAACCAAAGATACCTACCCCACCTTACTGAATATTTCCGTGAATGCTCAATGTTGATATCGACATTTTGAAGTACTTCAGCTACGCTTATCCACAAACTGCGGTCGAATGACATCATACATGCAATACTTGCGTGCGAGGTAACAGGGAAAGTGAGTCCATAAGGCACATGATAACACTCGTTGGTAATCAGGGATAGTGATTGAGGTGCGCTACAAATTAGCTCGTTTTGAGTACGCTGCACGGAATACGCTACCGCCAAGTTACCAGTTGTGAAATGTACTGTCAGTCAGTTTTACAAATGGGATAGGTGTAAGCGTTTACTGAGTTATACGATCACCGTAATTGTTGAATCGAAATTCCTCGGTAATCTGTTTACCGCTTTTCTCATCCCTGATGGTTTCTTTTACAGTCCACTATCTCTTCCAATCACCGTCCGACATAACATTGTGTTAAAAGAGAGCGGTAGTCGTCTGGATTTGATCATCATCCCTAAAACAATCAGTCGTTCAGTAAGTGTCGCTCAATTCTTTCCCTGGTTTTATCATATTTTCTGCTTTGTTACGTTTTTTTCTCTATTACCTTGGTCTCATGGAGACTGTCCAAGCCACATTTATCGGGACAGATGAATTTTTCCTTATCGTTTGCATTTAACGTACGATTACTTGTGAGTGTTATTGTAACTCCGGATCCACCTATTCAAAAGCACGTTTGGTAACACTGCGCTAATTAATTCGTTCCGTAGCTGGTTTATTTTTGGCTAAGTGATTCAGGAGACCTGATTTGGTGATAGGTTTTTGGTAGGGGGTTAGTAGAGCATACACTTTCTGTTTTTGTCGAGTCCACTGAGCCAA